GCATGAGTAGGACTTCAAGTGGATCATACATAAAAAACACGTGGTCCTGAACAATGTGAGGCTCTGTGGGTTTCCGGCCAAGGACTAAATCCTGAACAATATGAAACTTGTCACCAGTACTGATTTTAAGGAGCTAAAAATTCTGATAGACGCTGGTAAATATAATTACTTACGGTCAAAAATGAGACAGACTCACTTTATGTAAGGTTCACAGAGCTTTACTAACTGATATGACTGTCGGAGGTTCCTTGTAATGCTAAACATTGCCTCTCATCAGTGATGCTCGCACTGGATCATCTGAATCATCTGAGTAACAAGCTGAGGAGTCAGCTGTAAAAATATCTGCCTAATGATAAATATGATTAGAGGAAAGAGACTCTGTCAATTGTGGCAAATTTATTTTTGACCAAAAACTAGAACCGAAATTATCATGATCAAACTGAAATACATTTTATTTACATGATAATACATTTCTGATCAATCTGAGCATAAAAACTTCCAAAAACTAACCATTTTGAACAGCCACTCATGTCACTTGGAGGCTGTACTTTAGTCTAACTAACTGTTTAGATGCTTCAAAACGGTGCTATATAACAGCTGCTAGTGAAGTATAAATATTGTAGTGCCAGGGTGGAGTGTCCCAGCATTCTTAGCAGTTTTTCTGATTTCAGCGACTGGTATGCTCACACTACAAGTTAAGTTTGAAAGCCTATTATTAATGATGCTCAAACCAAATCATGTGAGTGCCTATTTGAGTAACAGACTGAAGGGCTAGCTGTTTTCACTAGTAAATTTCTGCAAAACACAGGTAATTTAATGCATTTATAATGTTTGAACCAGAGCTTTCCAACCTAAACAAGCAAAATGTTGCTTTAAAATAAATGATTAGCGAAAAGAGGCTATGCCAAAGTAATTCTTGACCAAAAACCAGAACAGAAAGTTTTAACACGATAAAATTGAAAAATATTTTATGACATCTACAGTACATTCTTGATGAATCTGTGCATAAAAACTTCCTCAAATTATTATCATTTTGAATAGTGTTAAACTAACCCCACCATATGGAGGCTGTACTTTAGTCTGAGTTGCTATGACTCTCAGCTGTTTACATGTTTCAAAAGAGTGAGTGTGTTTACATGCACTCAGTAAGCTGATCATAATCAGATTTCTGCAGTTATCTGATTATTCAAATGGTCATGTAAACAGCATACTCCAATTTCTTAGATCGGAGTAAGGTCTAGATATCTGATTAAGAAATCTGATAAGGAGAGCTGGATTTTAACTCAGTAATCAGATTTCTCAGTGCAGGTAAACTCTTACTCTGATTTCTTTCGGATTTCTCAGTCTGAGCTTGTGCAGAACAGATCGCTGTACTGTAAAAAAGCAAGCAGCGCTGCCACGAGACGCAGCAAAACACTTTTGGAGCGACACTGAAACCAACTACATTCTCGATGAAATGAAGGATGTAAATATTCTAGATCAGAACCAACATCATCTAGAATGTTTATAAAAAGAATGTTTATCAATGTTTTATAAAAAGCTGCAGCATGAAGTTTGAGGTTTACATTACGTTTACGTCACGTCTTCTTCTGTGAGTTTACTGGCCGGTTGCAAAGCAGAAGTCCAATTGCTGCCCGACTCATGTAGAGCTGGAGTTTGCACATTAACTGATTACTCAAGGGCATATAAACGCGTTGATCGGATTACTGACAAAATCTGATTTTCTGCAGTTATCAGATTATTAAGTGCATGTAAACACACTCAGTGCTATATTACTTCCTCTCATAAATATAAAAGTATAAATATTCTAATGCCAGGGTTGAGCTTCACATAATTATTAGCAAATATGTAGATTTCTGCTACTGTTGTGCTCATTCTAAAAGCCAAGTATAGACGCCTTTTATTAGTGAGGCTGGGTTTTACACATGACATGGAGTCAAATAGCTAGTGGTATCAAGAATGTTTGTCCTGCTCAGTTGAAAGGAAATTCCACTTAATTTCATTTCTAGACATTAAATATTTATTGCCTGTGCAGAGAATAGAGCCCCTTCATAAGTCTGATGTGTGTGGGTTTATTTATATCATGAAAATGCTCAGTTTAAAGCCTTCATTTCCAGCTGTTAATTTCAGCACTTTGTCAATTATACACAAAAATATGACACGTCATCAGCATTACTGTATTCAGAAAGAGCGGAGGCGCAGGTCATTCTGATTGTAACAAGTTCAATCCAGTGCGTGATGACCGAGACATTGAGACTTCTGGCTCAAACAAAGATTACAAACTAATTGAAATGTTTGAGATCACTTGTTTCTACCAATTACATTTTTCGTTATTTTGATGAAAAGCACATCTTGTGTTTAAGCTTGGAGTACATTACATAAACCAGTTATAAATATCTGTGACTATAGTGATAAATCTGTATAACCTAAATCAGCCAGTGCTATGTTGGCCAATCCCTGCTAAGGACCGACTCCATTAGAGTGCAGCTACTCGCTGACATTAATTAAATGTGGGTTCGGAAGCTCTGCAGTCATTGCATTTAAATAAGCGCCTCTTGCAGCCTACAACACTCCCAGCGCATCTAACAGCAGCATGGAACCGGCTGTTAGTCCTGTTAGTGTCGGAGATGCATTAAAAGCAAAGACCCAGCGTTTAAGCCTGCACCACACTGACAGAGAGACAGATTAGCTGAAATATACCGCTTTGTCGAGTGAGCGTGGGATGCCCTCAAAATGAAGCGGAGAAGTTAAAAGGTACTGCATATCAGAGCGCAGCGAGGAAATCAGAAAATTAGTCTCAGCGCCGCAATCAATTAAAGCCCACTTGATGATGGCAATTAGGTCTATATTTGAACGCATTAATAAGCACTTCATTAGCAGGCATAAGAGAAACACACAGAGGGAAATTATCAGAGGCATTAGAACAAGACTGTACATCTCCTGTGCAATATGCAAATTAGACAACAGAAAAGCATTCAGATCACTTAGAATGAGGTGGTTAGATGTAGGAATTAGCCTAGTTAGAGGCCAAATTCCATTATTAATATTGTGACTGTCCAAAGAAAACATGCATCTCCATTTTTTCGACTTTCATTTTTCTACACCATTTGAACACAGCGACTTCCTTTTATGTCGTGTGAAAATGCTGAATTAAATCAACATAAATGCTCCAAAATTGCTTGGAATAAAATCTCTTCACATTAACTTTCAATAGAAGTAAAGAATGCTTTTGCCTTCACCTGAAAAAAGCTGCCACTTTGGAGATACTTGTTTTCCTTTAGATAGTGACGATATGTATTTTTTTTTATTTGAAAGAATTAAAGCAAAAGTTCAGCCTCAAATGAAATCAACACAACTGTTCCCTAACTCCAAATGTAGCTGGTCATATATCCTAGGCTACGTTTACACAGCAGGTAAAAGTGGCCCAAATCTTTTTCCTCAAATGTGACACAGATGTGTGTCTGTGTGGCAGTGTGAACAGCAAAAAACGCACTGAATCTGACAATTTCAATTCCGATTTGAAACGCTTTCATATGTGGTACTGAAATCCAATACGTATCCAATCTGTGGCAATGTGACTCAGTCTGAACAGCCAGATCTGAAAACTGAAAGCTCCTAGGGCGACTGGCGTTCGCTGGCCGTCATGACTGTTTACCTTTGGACGAGCCGCCACGTGAAGCACTGTTCTTTTGCACATGCGGGTCGGTTTAGGAGCTGATCTGTTCAGACTGATGTCGCATACAGGTCACATTTAAAAGATAATGTGAACAGCCAAACAAAAAAAATCAGATTTGTTGAGAAAATCAGATTTGGGCCACTTTTACCTGCTGTGTAAACACAGCCCTAGTCCTACACTAGCTCAGTTGGTAAGTAGCTTAGTGTGCAACTCCTCCATGTGGAGAGTTGGGTTCGATTCCCCACAGGCAATCACAGCATTTCAATAATCCTTTATTTTTTGCAACACAACATTTATATCATCTGTATAGCATGATTAACTTAAGACTGTGTGCCAAATGTATACATGTAAAGGTAACTTGCAAAAGAGAAAAAGAATATCGGAAAATGTAATGTTTCTCATTTTGAGACTGATTTAAGAATTTTATATTGCTAAATCTACACATTTTAACTGTTCTGCCATTTTATCTGTCTTATTCCACTGGCAGATAATCTTAATTTTTTTGAGAAAAATCTCGTTTTAATAATGCTTAAAACAAGCAGAATCATCTGCCAATGAAATAAGACACTTCTTACTACAAAAGCAAACATCAGACATCATGTCTTGGCTGACCAGCTGTATTTCGGGGAAAATTTGTGTAATTTTCATTTTGGGCTGAATTATCGCTTGAATTCGAGTCTACAAAACAAACTCTCAAAGTATGAAGACCAATAACAAGTAGTGGCATCAGTAAGTTTAGAATTAGACTGTACAGAAAGAAGAACTGAGCGAGAGAAAGAGAGAGAAAGGCTGTGTAAGTGAAGGAGGATGCTGCTGTTGGGTGTGTAGGAGTGTGAATGCAGGAGCTCACTTACGGGAATGGAGCGGCTGAGGTAGCGGGCTGAAGGCCGGTTCAGACCGGTGGTGCCTTGACTCAGAGCCGATTCCTCAATACCAAACCTGCCAGCGGTGGATGACGCCCCAGCTGCGCTGCCGTGGTTGTGGTTCTGGTTGTGGTTGGTGTACGATGGGCTTTTGCCTGGGCCGACCCCGTTAGCGTTAGGGCCATTGGAGTTGGAGTTATAATGATTGTTGTTGACCTCGTAGTGATAGTTGTGAGCAGCCAGAGTGGACGCGCTGCTGAAGGCCACATGGGGGGCGGAGGAGGAGGAGGGGGAGGAGGGGGAGAACGAGAAAGAGGAAGAAGAGGAGGACGAAGTCTTCTTCCCAGGGCTGTTACGGTCTCCGTCTGTCTCATACAGGTTGCCGAGAGAGGTGGCTAATCTGGAGTTTAGAGAGGAGCTGGGGGTGGAGGGTACACAAATACAGAGGGGTAGTAGGGGGGAGGATGGTGGACTCATCACTGCAACACAAGCAACAGGTCTTTTTCATGCAGATTCGTGGGTTTATCCCATAGTTTGCTGGGGAAAATAGCTTCCAGTTAAATGGAAGGATGTTTCGAGACCTCCTTGAAAAATGTATTAAAAATCAAATGCGGTTCAGCTGGTTTAAATCTAATCTTCTACAGCAGTGGTTCCCAAACCGGTTCTGAAGGGCCCCCAGAGTGTCCACTGAGTGTAGCTCTACCTGTTGCAAGTTTGTTAGCAAAAATCTGGACTGTCTAGGGGTCCTTGAGAATCTATTTGAGAACCAATGTTCTACAGCACCATCAAAGTTGACTAATGGTATAATGTCTTCCCCAATAATTACATCATCTTTAAAGCAAGTTGCCTGTATGACACATTAAGATGTTCATTAAAAGGCTTAAGCTAGTTAGGCCTGATGTGCTAGACAGATTCTTTGAATATAACTACTATACACGTTCCAAAGTGGTTAATATGGCTGTCCTTTTTGTTTATGTTCAGTGATGAGCACGGTAACAGTACCCATTAACGTTAAAACTACGTCTCTCTTTAAAGTTACCATAAACTCTTATGTCTCAGAACACTATGTAGTTAGGTAACGTTAGTCCTATAACTCAGTTAGCATAAGCTACTGGTTGGCATCATTTTAGTCCTTATTTTGATGTGCCCTTGTCAGCCTCACCCTTTCCGCTTGGGGAAATCCTGTTGTTCTCTTAAGGGCCGTTCCTTTTTTTCATTAGCTCAAGTTAAGTGTGCTTATGAGCTTTTGCAGGGGCGAGGGCTTGAGTAAACACAAGTGTCCAGTTCTACTTCTGACGCAATTCCCTTTTCAAACCCCAAGAAATGGCAGACAAAGTGGTTCATAAGCAGCAGCACTAAAAATTTTAAAACATTTAATATTTCAAAACTATAAAATCCAATGTGCAATGTTCAAACTAGGGTTTATGGCACAAACTTACTTCATTTCTTTCAAGTCTACACAGCTAGCAACAACAAAACGAAGGGAGATACACCACCATTTTTAACCAGATCCTATAGCTAGACAAATCAATTTTTCCTAAAATATATGCACCTCGACTAAAGAGGCTAACCTAGCAGAGTGCAAGTCTGCGGGGTTGGGGGGTGACGCTCCTCACAGCCCCCTCCTCCCCTTGTGCTATTACAGGCCACTTGTGTAATGTATCCATGATGCACTTGCAAGTCCTGAGTCGAAGCGATGTGCTGAAAAAAGTGCTGAACCTTTACACATAAGGTTTATCCTTTATGGAGGCTGTGAAACAGTTTAGCTTCAGCTTCCTTTTAACTGTAAGTTATTTTACCCAACAAACACATCAAATGTATGCATGAGTCTGCGTGAAAAAGGACGATACGCATCACACAACCTACACAACGAAACAGGCCCATACAGAGCACAGAGGCTTCAAACTTTCGGTTTCTTTCTGATGTCTACAGTGTGGGAGCAAAACTGCTTGTATAAGAATGTGCTTTCTCAGCTTTAGCGCCATGTTGGTCAATGTATATTTTGTAAATACAAAATACTGCACTGACAGCTGATTAGCTTGATTTAATCCAAAAAAAATCAAAAAAGTGCTTGCCACAGCTGTCAGTTAGGCAGTGGGAAACAACCGTCATGTACTCAGTACCAAAATAGAAAAAAACACTCGTAACACGTATCTCAAGAGGGGCCGGTTTGTACAGAGCGAGGGAGGTAGAGAGGGAGAGAGAGGGAGTGTGCATGTGAAAGAGTGAAAGCAAAAACAGAGCGTGGTCCTGGCTTTGGCTCTTTCTCTATTAGATCGGCAGGAGGGAGTGAATCACCTACTGCATTAAGTGAACTGTCCCTATTGTACCTATTCTAAAGCGTGATATTAGAGCATGGGGTAGTCACAGAGAGGGAGAAAGACCACAAGAGGGCTGAAGGGAAAATACGAGATAAGAGAAAAAGAGAAAAAGACAAAAGGGAAAGGAGTTAAAAAAGAATTTAGAGTAAACAAGGAAGGAAGAAAAGTCATTAACAAAGAGGCAGGAAACAAGAACGTGGCCAAAAATGACAGAAGTAGAAGGGAAGAGGGTGGGAACGTGATATAGGAATGGAAACGTGGGCCTAAAGCCCAAACAGGACAAGGGAACAGAATGGAGGAAGACGGAGAGTCATGGAGTGGCTCACCTTTTGAGTCTGGATGAGGACGAGGAGTCTCGGCTGATTCTCTTGGCAGAGGCGGAGATGGAGGAAGAGGACGACACTTTGGAGGATTTGAGGGGTGAAATGGGACCCTGGGGGCTGGAGGCTGCACTCAGTCTACTGCGAAACACACAAAAAAGACACCAGCTTTATTGTATTTCCCACTGTAAATTGTCAGTCATATTACAAAACTTTGTAACTTTATTTTCTTTTGTTTTTCAGCTTTTACACCATTTAAAAACAGCTGTTCCTAAGATTTTGGGTACATTTCATAACGAATGAACCAATAGATATGCTTCAAAATTACTTGCATACATAAACATGATAAATATACATTGTTGTTTAAAAGTCTGGAGTCACAACTGAAAGGTTTGGGATCATTTTGTCATTAAAATGAAAAAAGTTGCAGATAAATGTGTGAAATGATGATATTACAATTCTACTTTGCAGAGTTGTAGAAGATTCCAAAATGGCAGAATAGCTGTAAACCACTGTAATAAAATTAACAGCCAGCATGCCTTGTATTTGAAACATAGTGATTAGATCTCAGGCAAAACAACTTACTATTCATCATTTAATGCTCTCAAAACTTGAACTACCGAATAAAACATCATGAAGTACCTTTTGGGGTCTAGTGTGAATAAAAATATTCATAATCAATAACTTAAGTGATTCCAAACTTCTGAAAGCTTGTATATATAAAAGAAATAAAATCTTAACCTTAATGTAAATGAAACAAAAGTTTTTTTCCTTCTCCTATAAAGTTTTCATTTCAAGATGCAATGTTTGGTTACAACAGTGAGTGTGTTTACATGCACTTAATAATTCGATAACTGCAGAAAATCAGATTGTCAGTAATCTGATCAACGTGTTTACATGCACTCGAGTAATCAGATAATGGGAAACTCCATGTCTACATGAGTCAGGCAGTAATCAGATTTCTGCTTTGCAACCAGCCAATAAACTCAAAGAAGTAGACATGACGCAAATGTAATGTTACTTCCTGCCGCAGCTTATTTAAAAACATCGCACCACTTTACCTGAAGCTATGAACATCATCATCTAGAAGATGAAGAATATTTAAATCCTTCATTTTTTCAAGCATGTATTTGGTTTCAGTGGCGCTCCAATAGTGTTTTGCTGTGTCTCACAGTAGCGCTGCTTGCTTATTTCTGGTACCGCAGTCTGCTTTTGCACATGCACAAAAAGTGTTAATTTATCAATTCTATAAATGCAAATCGGTCAACACTATAAATGCTTATCCTTCAATTTAATAAATGCTAATCTGTTATTTAAATGCTATTCTATAAATGCTGCTAATCTATCAATGCTCTAAATGCTAAGATCCCAATTCTATAAGTGCTAATCTATCAACTTTATCAATGCTATCCTAAAATGGTAATCTGTCAACTCTATAAACTGTCTTCCAATTCTCTAAATGCTAATCTATCAACTCTTTAAATCTTTCATTTCTATAAATTCTAATTTTCCAATTCTAACTTAATTCTGACTATTCAACTGTAAACATGCTAATCCATCAACTCCACAAATGCTAAGACTACAATCCAATAAGTGCTTATTTTTCAATTCTACAAATGCTAATCTGTCCATGTTTTAAAAGAAATCTGAAAGAAATCAGAGTAAGAGTTCACATGCACTGAGAAATCTGATTACTGAGCTAAAATCCAGCTCCCTTTATCGGATTTCTAGACCTTACTCCGATCTAAGAAATCTGAGTATGCTGTTTACATCACTATTTGAATAATCAGATAACTGCAGAAATGATCAGATTATTGAGTGCATGTAAACGCGCTCAGTGACAAAATATATATAAATCTCCCCAAATAAACACAACTAAGACAGGGCTGCCCGATCAGCAGATGTTGCCTATGAGGATCCTGTATCCGCTCAACATTTTAGCCCTATTCCAGCTCCCAAAACAGCTGAGCCAGGTGATTACTGGCTGTGGAACTGACAGACCCAGGTGTGCAATAAATTAGAATACAAAAGCAGTATGGACAAAAGTAAAAAAGCCAGAAAGGCATCCTCAAGGAAAAAAATGCAAGAACGCTTTACACAGAGTCCCGATGATATTAGCTCCCAGTCTTTTACAAACCGATCTGTGAGACAATGCCAACACGTTTGGGCAGAACTAGAAGAGACAGCATCAAAATAGAGAACGCATCTCAGTCTGTACTACTATAAACAAATCAGCTAACTAAACATGCATGAAATGGGCTTAGTCCTGTTCTGGATTTTCCCCCATTCATTCTGAGCACAAAGCAGCAGCGCTGCACGTTAGATATGAAATGAGGGAAATTCTTATCAAAGTCTGAGAGTTTCCATTCTTACATCAACTGAACGGTGCCGAATGAACAGCCTACAAAATAATAAATATGGTACATTTATCAGCCACACAAAATGGACCTGTGAGCACTGGAGCTAATGGGTTTGCCTGCAGCATCCTGAGAGGAACTGAAGTAAGCATGGAATGGTTAAAACGATTACAAGATTCTTTGAAGAGGTCCTGATTTGGCAAGAGAGGGCTTCAAAAGAGCCAGAAATAACCTGGGAGTTCAGGGAAAGAACAGCGGCACTGGTAACATGTACAGGGGTCAAGGCTACTTCTCTCTGCTACTCCTACTAAGGTCTGGGCAGCAACTCTCCACTGTAAGACGCCTCACTCTTTCTCCAATTCACTCACTTCAAGGAGAAAATAGATAATGGGGGTTTAAACAGAAGAGCACTAAAGCTTGACTGATTTATAACACGAATACACAAAAATCAGTAAATATTAAGCTTCTCCGTCACGGATTTATCTGCATTCACAGAAATTCTGCTGACAGAGCAAAAATAAAAACGGTATATAAGAAATGTTATATAAGATTTCTAATGTTATATAAGAATTCAGGAACATGAAGCTATTTTGAACAACATACAAAAGAAAAACCATCAGGAAAACTCTGGCAGAGTTTATTTATGTGTTCTAGCAATGTATTACAGTTAACCCCTTTTCTCACAGTAGTCATAAAATACCATTTCTGCCTGTTGTGGAGGTCCCTCGTTTTTTGCACTATGCATTTTTTACCTCAATAACTTTTATCAAATATATTTCAACTGAAATGTGTATGATTACCAAAACTGGATTTTCATCTTCATTGGCTTGCAAGTCAACAGTGTGTTGTGTGGTTAAAGTGTTTCATGGTGTAGAAATGGTATTTTTTATTGTGGCAGCTGTACAGGATTGTTTCATATGAAGAAAGCTGCAGATGTGCTGTCTGTTTTATTTGACCTCTCATTGCTCACTAGCAGCTCAACATAGAGTCACAGCATTTCATATACAGACAGCCAACTGTGTTCTAGTTAATCTGATAACATAATTTAAAAACACAAAACACTTTATCACATTAACTAGACATTACCTAGAGTTAATTTCCACTCCACTAGCGGAATGGCCAGAAATTGGTTAAGTTACAAAATTGTTTACGAGTGGCTCATTATGTAGTTATTATTACATATTTTTGTATATTGTTCTCTACTTACATAAATAGAGTTGCTGTTTGGGGTTTTTAGATATTTGACAACTGACAAATCATACAACTAAAGCACTTAATTATCAAGTAAACACATTTATTCTGGCCAATGTTATCATTACCAGAAGTCTTAACTGCTCAAAATTGGTACTAGATAACAAAACATTTGTATTGACTGGACTGTATTAAAAAGACAGCCACAATGCCCCAGTGTGCTCACATGTCTCTATCCATCCATCTCTCTATACCCCTTTCATTACTCTCCCTCCATTTCTCTGCTCTTCATTCATAAATCTATCCATTTGTCTGTCTTCACAATATATTTTAAAGGACCCATTAACTGAAAACCTAATTTTCTCTCTTCTTTTAATAAAAGAGTTTGATGTAGTATGAAAACATAGTTAAATATACAATTCAATCCCCAGTCCATGTGGTCTATAGGAGGAGTAATGGACTGCTTTTTGAACAAGGGCACAATACAAGGCAGCCAGAACAGAGGTCATTTACATACATCATTGGCTTTATGTGGATGACATTTTAGCACGTCATATTAAGGATATACTGCAAGAGACATCGTAATCTTTATATGTAGCAGTAGACGTGTGATATGGCATTGTATCCACATTTCACAGACATACATTTCATCCAGCCTTTTCTCAATCCTCTCTCCTTTTTACTTCCTCTAACTTCCACTCCCTCACTCTCTCTATCTCTCTCTATGTACTCAAAGGAGTGGGAGGGCTGAGAGCTCTCTTCTCGCACCACTCTTTGTGGGAAATTAATTAAGGGCCAAACCCTCATTCAAAAGAGGACGCTGTATTTGCATCAGAACCCAAAGTGCTAAAAAGCGGCCCGTCTGCATCATCACTAGCATCATCTGTATCTGCATGCGATTGTTCTGCTCTCAGAGCTGGCGCTTTGAGAGTTTTACGCTGTGTTTCTTGAGTTCAAGGGGCACGATGAGGACACTGTGCTGCATAATGTGTGTCTGAAAAGGGAAAGAGGATGCAGACAAGTACCTTTAAGGTGATATTTGTTTTTCCACATTGTGGAAAACACGGGGCTGAGACAAAAAACCACAGGTCCTGATTATACCAGGATACACACTGCAGTGTTACTTTTTGAAAGGCAAATATAGACATTTTAAAGCGACAGTTTGATGAAAATAAAACAGATACATAAATAAAAATACACAGTTTCTGTCTTAGGTTTGCTTCTTTAGTTCTGCACTAGAGATACGAGGCTAATATATACAAGTAACGTTGTACAAGTGATCTTTAACAGTCTTACACGGTTTTTGTTCTGGGTTACATTATAGTTAATATTATCAAGCATAAAAATGGACAAAAATATGTTGCATAGCTAAAACAGTAGTGTCAGTCATTTTGAAGTTCGAATTTGTTTGTTCATTTTTATATACATATTGTATCATACAGTGTCAAATAGTGTGCAAAATATCTCCTGGTATTAGGGGGTCCCACGTCGACTGGCTACTCCACCACTCAATGAACGTGCCGCATCACGTCGCACAGTGTCCAAAAATTTTAAACCATTGTTTTTAATGGAGGTATACACACCAACGCGTGCCAGCGCTCCATCATTCAGAGCACTGTTCATTGTCTCAGCACGTCACAGCCCACCACATAGCATTTTGCCATCGTTGCATTAAATTAAAGCCATGTTAAGACCACAGAAAGCCACAGTACATCAAATGTGGCTTGTAATTTACACAGAGAAAGACAGCCAGTCTTTTAGATAAACAAGTTACCTCAGCTACCGTTACTGTCCTAGCCTTTTTCAGCTCAAAAACCACCAGTCTGTAAAAGGTAGTAAACTGAAACCAAGTCTGATAGGTGATGTTCAGCGCTTTATTACGTTAAAGTTATACACGTAGAGTGTAAAAATAAAGCACCAAGTTACAAAAAAATTGGAGGTCCTCATCCACACACAGCCCGTCCCCTGAGTCTGTTTCTGAACGTCCATTTTTCCCCTAACAGACAGCATAACATAGCATTCATGGGGTCCACAATGTTAATTCAGCACCCCCTGAATTTCACACCTTGCACATAAACAAGTCTGATTCAGATTACTACACCTGAATGTGGTTTGGGGCAAGTGCTTAATGATTTAGGTGTGCGGTTTGTACGATGATAATTGGCAGGATAAAAGCTTCCTTTTAGAGATGGCACAGACCCTTTACCAGGTATCAATGTCTGTCTCCGATTAGTCTGGTTTCACTCTGATAACAGCAGAAAATGCTGGATCATATCAGTAATGTGATCCTGAAACAGATCTCTCACACTGTGTGATGTGGTGGTGTTTGATGTGTAGTTCTTCCTCTGGGGTCGCAGAGTGACTGAGTAGTTTGAGCATGATTGCCTACTTTTAGATGCTCTTCTTAAGCGAAGTGCCTTAATTAAAAACATTTAAATTAAATTTAAAGACAAACATATCAGATCAGTTTAAATATCGGTATTAGAAAAGAAAAGAAAAGAAAAGAAAAATGTAGTATCGAGCCATATCTAGTTCCTTTGCTTGTTAATTACAATAGAATACATTTGGGCTGAAGAAAATGCTGCATAAATGAGTTTTCACTGAACCATCGCTTTAAGTGTGTAATAGATTACTAAAAAAAAAAGGAAAGAGATGAAGAAGAAGAATTGGAGAGTAAGGAAGAGGAAGAAGAGGGCAAAGAAATATTGTGATTAAATAGGGAAAAACACCTGAAAGGCTGTGATGGGGACCTGGTGTGCATTTTCATGTCTTCAAGTCTGGAGAGTGAAAGAACATTGAAAAGCTATTAGAGGAAACCAAAACAAGCAATGTGTTTAAACCATCAAACTGAAATTATCCTTACAGACAAATTACACGTTCAACATACAGCAGCAGCTGGAAACTTCTATGCTTTTACACACACCCCTAAACAGAGTCATGCTGTTTACCAAATTGCTTGTATCGCCTAGATAAAGCCATAAAATCGAATTAGGAAAGAAAAATCAAAGAGATAAGAGACTCAAATGATCTTTGAGGGTCCACCTGTCCTAAAGGAACAAAGGCAACATGTCTATGAGACGAGTGACACTGTGTTTCTATGCCAACCACAGCTCTGCCTGCAAATCACACCACCGCACAACGCCCTGTTCCTATGTAATTATTTTAGCTCACATCTCTTCTTAGAGAGGCTGAAAATGCAAAACACTCGCCTGCGTTACTAAAAGCTAATGGAAGTTGACCGACTTGCAAATGAATGGAGAGCAGGGTTTAAAAAGAAAAAAACAAAACAAAACAAAATAAATAAAAACACAAAGCAGCAGAGCATTAGCTCTTTCATACAAAGCTTTCGTACATCATGTTATATGAGCTTATTTGACCTGCATGTATACATTACAGTATCTGACACCTCTGCTCACTTTTCTGAACAAGAACACTACGACAATAACACAATTTGTTTACATATACAGATTATATTACAGTGCCATATTCTGAGCAGGAGTACAGACTGCAGAGAGAGTGTTCAAAGTAAAAAAGATTTGGTAATACTTTACTGAAGAGCAGCGTATTTGTAAACCTTTGACAACTGACAACTAGGGGTGCAGCGATTAATTGACTTAGTTAACCAAAGTCGACACAACTGTGTATTAAATCACAGTTGCAGTTGCAGCTGGACGAAGGGTTACCGTAGAAATCAATGTTTACAACGCTCAAATTAAACTGTTCATAGCGAACAGGTTTGCCAGAAACGTTTGCCACTGCTTGCCGAATTTGAGCACATCTCACGTTTATGGCTGGAGTGCTGCTCAAAGATTTACATACATAGATGCCGCGTTGGAATCAGCCAGGCACGTAAACGGCCCCGCTATTTTGTGGCGGTCAACATTGCTGCTGGACTGCTTTCAGTACCATTACAGAGCGGCAGGCTAAGAAAGATTCTGTCCAAAATGATACTATTTCAAGAATATCGCACCCAGAAAGTGGGATAGGATTACATAATGGTCAGTATTCTTGTATTAACAAGAAAGTTTATTAAAACAGTGAATTTTTAAACAAGTTACTCATTTTTATTGTCTTCGTTGTTAGTTAGCAAATGCATAAAACAATCTCAACGCTAGTTTTAAATGCTGATAGCTACATAAGAGTAATTTGGTAATTGAGCGATTATTTGTTTCAATAATCGATAGATTATTCAACTATCAAAATTTTTGTTTGTTGCAGCCCTACTCACAACCTACAATAACATTTAATTAATGTCACAAACGCTGCTTTTGTCCATTTTGATTTCACCTGAGAAAGTGTTATAATGACTGGTGCTTGTTGGAATAAGGTTTAAGCCCTTAAACTCCAAACTTATTATTCAGTTATTCATCTTAAAGCTTGTGATAACAGTTTTCCCCATATTGAGTATAGTTCACCCATTCTTCTTTCCTTCTGTCTTCTCTACCCAGCCAGAGAGCAAAGCTCTTGACTGTCTAACTGTAGGAGGCCCTTTATCTCCTCAACACATAGGAAGGTCTTACCTCAGAGCCCCCGTGGTTGCTGATCTGGGCTGCCTCCGGCCCTTTAAGGCACGCAGTTTGTCTCCTTGAGTCATGCTGAGACCGTTATCACCGTAGTCATTATTCTGTTAAAAAAAAGCCACACATCACTTGCTGGAGCTGTGCAATAAAGCTAAAATAGTATGCTGGGATTTATGCATGTTGAATTATTCACACCAGTAAAATCCTTTCACAATACCAGGAAAACCCCAACCATATTCTGTCAATCCCACAAATTACCCAGAATATCAAGTGAGACAAAGTTTAAGAATGTTTTAAAAAATACATGAACTAATGATTTCGGAGTCCGACAGATTCTAAGAGTGACTCATCAGATTCAAGTCACGATTATAATGCAAAGGAGCACGAAGCGCTGAGCCAGTGCTGGAAAACGTATCTGAATTTAGACAGCATCAGTGTATCTACAGTCTGACTGATTTTCTAATTTCCCTATTACTCAAAATAATAAGTGACCCATTACTTAATTACAGACCCAGTATCACTGGCCCTCCAAATGAGAGCCTGGCCCGTGGATGAGCACGTAATCTACTATCAGCAGCATGAATGTATGCGTTTCTATATTGTTTACTGAGTCAAAAGCCTGAAGCCTGTAGGTAAGCGGTGCTGAATGGCGCTGAAAGGTGCAGATGGAGTGGTGGGCGTTCGGACTGTTAGAGAGGACTGACCTCCTCCACCCGGTCCAGGCTGCTGGCTTTGAGAATGCTGGTGCTGATGGTCATGTCATCCATGCTGGAGATGAGGTGAGGCACGCCCACGCTGCGCTCTTCATATATGCGCACCTTCTGCTGCTGAGAGCGATACACTTCACCCTGAGCCCACAGACTCGCCTGCTTCCTACAAATGACACAGAAAGAGAGAGAGAAATAAATACAGGAAGAAATAAATAAAGAAAAGAAGGTAAGACGAAAAGTAAGAAAGACAGACAGACAAAGAGACGATAAAAAAGACAGGAAGAAAGAAAGAAGGAAAAGAATGAAAGAGACAGGCAGTAATAATAATAATTAAATTTTATTTGATAAGTGCCTTTCAAGACACCCAAGGACACTGTACAATAAAATAAAGATAAAAAAGATAAAACCACTAAAAATAATAATAATAAAAATAAATTTAAAAAGCCATCTGGAAAAGGTGGGTTTTAAGACTAGCTTTGAACATAGCCAGGGTCGAACAAGCACGCAACTCAGAGGGGAGACTGTTCCACAGCTTGGGGCCAGCAACACTGAATGCCCTGTCACCAACAGTATGCAGCTTAGAGGGAGGAACTTTGAGCAAATGTGAATCAGAGGAGCGAAGAGTGCGAGCTGGAGAGTATAACTGGAGCAGACTACCAAGGTAGGAGGGGGCAAGGCCATTCAAAGATTTAAAAACCAGCACAAGCAATTTGTATCGAACGCGATACTGTACTGGGAGCCAATGAAGCTGTTTCAGAGTTGGACTGATGTGCTCCCAGGATCTTGTGTGGGTTAAAACCCTAGCAGCTGAATTTTGCACATACTGCAGCCTATTCAGAACCCGAGCAGGGAGTCCATATAGCACAGCATTGCAGTAGTCAATTCTAGATGTTACAAAGGCATGGATAACAGTCTCAGCAGCAGAAAAAGAGAGAAAAGGGCAGATCCTAGCAATGCTCTTCAGATGGAAAAAGGCTGCCTTACAGTAAGAAAGAAGGAACAGATAGACAGGCAGAAAAAGACAAAGAAGAAAAGACCGACATATAAATAAATAAAAGAATAAATGAACACAAAAAGAAAGAAAGAAAGAAAGAAAGACTGAAAAAAGAAGAAAGATAAAATGACTGACAGAAATCAAGAAAAAAAAGAAATTTTAGGAATAAAAAAAACTTAACATTAGGTAAAAATTAAACAAACGGAAAGAACAAATGAAAGTCAAAAAAAAGCAAGGGCAATAAAAAGAAAGATTAAGAAAAAAGAGCATGATCAAAAGAAAGAAAAAACAAAGACAGACAGACAGACAGATGTGTGTATGAGCTCCTAGATAGATAGATAAATGGATATATGAATAGATAGAAATCTTTCTTTCTTTCTCTCTCTCTCTCTCTCTCTCTACATACATATATATATATATATATATATATATATATATATATATATATATATATATATATATATATATATATATATATATATAGAGAGAGAGAGAGAGAGAGAGAGAGATACATACATGAATGAATAGACAGATAGACAGCAGAAAGAAAAAATGCTCAGTTAGTTCTTCTGGTTAAAGTTTAAGGCTCTCCTGAACATTTTGTCCTTGTCTCTCTTCTCACGCGCTGCACAGTGTCCTCAGGGGAAAGTATGCTGTAAGATAACATTGTCCTCTCAGCTATAAGCACATTCTGACTCTCCACAATCTATAGGCCTTTGTTCCAGCATGAGCCACGCTACACAGCAGAGGCCTGCTTTAACTCACCACTGACAGAATCAACTCAGACATGCACATTCTAATGAGTCAAGTTCTGCTGAACCAGCCACACTGGATCAGGGCCCAAAGTGTATCAAGCTTAAGCATCTGAGGAAAATTCTCACCCACTATAAAAAAACCCAGAACATGTCCAGTATCTGACAGAGCTTCTTCCTCTCCTCTGCAGGGGAGTGTGTTCTCATTCACTTACACAAGAGCCTTTCCTGTAAATGGCAGCACCAAAAGCCAAAATACTAGACGGCTGTTTTCAACAGTGAGATAAAATATTACCCAAAATAAAAAAAAAAAAGCTGAAGGGGAATTTAGGAGGTTCCTGAGCACACAAACACCTCCAAGCTGCAAGAGAACTGTGGGAGTCTTCCAATGGCCCAGGGATTATGGATTACATGGGTTATAACGGTTGGTACAATGTGTCAACAATATAGCATCACAACACTTGGAAATGTGTTCACGATACTCAGTACATACTCTAATATTCTGTTTTGGCAAAAATTTACTAGTTAAAGTCAACCTGAAATCAAAATTGACCTCGATTTTCTTGCTCAGTCATATTAAGCAAGAAGAAAATTACAACATCATCTCATATCATTTAAAAGATAAACTTCTTGTTTTCCAGTAGGGTTGCTGCACAATTTAAAAGATCAAATTTAATACTTTAATACTACGCACAGACTTTATTACGGCATATATTAAAAACTTATTTTATTCAAACTGATTGGTTGAAAAAAACATGAAAACGTTAAGACTGCACTTCTTCATTGTCTTTATTATCAGTTCTGCTGACATTTAGCCCTTCATCAGTCAGTTTATGCCATACTTAAATATTTTTTGTTGGCAGACAATTCCGGATATACGGAACAGTTTTCAACGTGGCCTTTAGGCATCATCTTATAATTCAATTTGGGACGTCCCGATTCAGCGTGTTTTGCCTCATGCCACATTTTATAATGTGTCTACTGGCTTAGGATTAAATTGGCTTATAACTGAGTCACAATTCTGAGAAACTACTATTATGAGACAATAAGTCACTATTATGAGATTCAAAGATATATTTATGAGAGACTTTCTTTTTATTACGACAAATTCTTCCCCCAACAGTCTTCCATAAACATTTCTGCCAACATCAGTTTTAAACCAGAAATGTTGCACGCAGCCTTTAAAGCCCAATGTTTCCGCAAAAAAGTTCAACCAGCTGCAACTTGAGGCTGAAAAATATTGTGGAAGAGTATTTGCTTCATGGTTTTTGTTGTGTCTAGCTGTGCGCTCACATTTAAACAGCGATATTTACACAAATGGCGGCCAATTTAAAAACAACAGAAGCACTGGAGCTGCAAATACTACACATTTTAAGCACCCTCTTTACAACAGTTCAACACTGCAGACATTGAACCCCCTTAATTACCTACTGAAAAACATGCCTCACAGCTGCAGGTTGTGGACAGTGAAGTAAACAGCAAAAGAAGAACAAAGGGTCTGAACTGGTTCAAGCTTGTTTTAGCCAATTCCTGATCCATTAATATGTGCCTGGACATCCCTAATTTTCAGATCTAGTTTCAATATCTATTTTAAGACTTAACTCTTTTTTTAAAAATCTGCAGGAACCCTGTTTCTCCACCTCCAAAACATCTTCTGTTTTTTGAATGCGTCACCGTGCACCAGCAAGGGAAGAAAAACAGCAGTATTAAATCAACAGTAATGTTTCATCTCCTCCCTCCACCTCCAGCTTTCAAGAGAAGTCTGTCAGCTAGCTCAGACACAGATTGTGTTTCACTAAAACATGTCATGATACAGAAGGAAAATGAGTTATGTTTTGAGGATGCAGTTGTTTAGAGTTACAGAAGTACTGTAGATAACAACTGATCTACTCAAAAAAGAGTATCATAATAACATCATATCACCCCTAATGGGAAATATCTAATTCTACTCACTCTTCTAGGAAGTGCTGCTGGGGGCCGATAACGGAGCCAGGTCTGCAGATACGGATCCATGCAATGGCTTCAGCCGCAGTTAACCGGTAGTGCTTCATCAGGTAGCAGCCGATCAGAGTGCCCGTCCTGCCCAAACCCGCTGCACACAGCACAGAACCAAAAGGTGAAAAGGTTGGTTATAGAAAATCATACTCAGAGAGGCAAAAGCCCAAAATAACATTGGTTGTGTGATTGTAATATGTTTCAAGAGTCATAGATAAGAAGTGTTGAGATAAGAGTGGTGCTTCTGCTGGGTAATCTTGGTGTGAGTTAGAGAATTTCAGAATGACTGCCAGACAAATGAGTGAGAAATAATTCACACAAAGTTATGGCATGTTTATAACTGTGGCTTCTGAAGGTTAAGAATACAGTGATCGTAGTTGGATGCTGGACAAATGGGTGAGAAGTCTGGTAAAAGGCTACTGTCTTCAATGTTGAGCAAAAACACATTGTGGCCAATTTTGTCGATTTTTGTCAACAGCCCCTTCCTGTCAAAGTAGGCAGTCCTTGGCTACGACTCCATGCAATTCACAATACTGGGTTCACGATTCTGCGTTCATGATATTTTGAGCATAAATCAAAACAAGAAATATGCTGGGAGGCAGGAGGAGGATTCGCTGGAGTGAGCTGTTGATGGGTGCTGATCACATACAAACTCTGGTGTCCAACACTGTAATTGCATTAGATATAAATCCAGAATTTCTATCCTCCACAACTCACATTGTCACAGTTTTGCACTGCGATATCACAGTGTCACAACATATTGTCATAACCCATGTAATAAAGCTTTGGATGGTTAAAACTTTACCTTGAATTCTTATCATATATTCTTAAATAGTGTATAATAAAAACATATTGAACACTTTATTTTTTTACCTTCTCTGTTTTTGTGGCTGCAGTCAGCTTTAAGTCAAATGTACTAAAAGAGGCTGGGTAAGTTAAGACAGCACACAACACCTACTCTATGAGTACAGAAACAATTGGGTACATTTAAACAGCAACACTAAAATTACTTATGATACGATTTTCCTTGAGAATGTGGTTTTACACTCTTTTCAGAAAGGTAGCATTTTTGATAGGAGGAGTTATTTTACATGCAAAATATGAGTGAGCATTTTTACCTGTATTTTTTTTTTTTTTAACTGTACGCCTGAAACTGCGGCCCGTAAATCAAGTTTCACCAATATAAACATATATAGGCATATTAGGCCTTATCTCCAGCTAAGACCACTCTATTCTCAACTTAATGGACCCAGTTATCATCAGCAATAACAAAACTGCCATAACTTTTATAATTTCACAATCACAGTCCACTGAAACAGAGAAATTCTTTGTAAACTGCAGATTCTAAGCTTTCAACCAACACTGAAACAGAAGTGGAGATATTTTATTGTGATTTGATTAAAAATAATAAATTATTCTGATAAATATAATACAATAAAATAGCTTTTTACAAAATTCTAATGATTTATTATTGTGTTGTCTTGTTCTGCAGTACTGTATCATTACTGTCATGGTTACCTATTTGATAAGATTAAAGCACGTTTTTATTTCTTAGACATTTAGCTGCTAGTTGATTTATTCTACCTGCATGTTCATTATTTATTCAGTAAATGTGTATTAATCATAATTTAGTGCATTCAAGCAAGCATACAAGCTTTTATGAGAATTTTGGCAATTTTATTGGGAATTAAATCTTTTTTATTCAGTGTGTGAAAACATGCATACAAATATGCAAAAAATAGATGGAAACTTAGCTAAAAATAACGCTAGTCTTTTAACGGTAAAACAGAACGTCTTAATTGGACGCAATGACAAGTGTTTGGTCAGTTGTATTTGAATTCTGAGCCGACACTGCCACCAAGTGGACAAAACTTCAAGTCATTCAGCAGAGAAAAAAAAAAGGTCAGAGGAACAAAATGGAATGTACCTTTGCAGTGGACGGCCACGGCACCGTCGGTGCTCTCGCAGACATGCAGGAAGCGGCGGGCGATGACATCACTTGGCGTGCTGCCGTCCACAAAGAACAGGTCGTAATGGTCGAAGCCGGCATCTGTGAAGCGCTTGGCATCATAGATCTTCTTATTCAGGCGGATGATGGTGGTGATGTTGTGCTTGCGAAAGTAAGGGAAATAAGCCTCAGGTGCATGAAGAGGATAACCTGGAACAAAGCAGAACAATTCGTCTCTGTGAGCAGGAAAAAATTCACCTTTAAATTTAGCTCAGAGTTTATCTAGCGTAAGAGTTTTTAGAGGACATTTTATGGGTACAGAACTTTAAGATTTGCTGGTTCTGCAGTTTGGTTTACAGGGGTTATTATACAGAGCTATACTGAGGTGCCAGTTTATTAGGTACATCTACATTGTATTTAGTCCCCATTTTATCAGAAACACACAAAAGGTGCACTATGTAGGATTCACGATCACAACCAACAGCATAAGCATGGGCATTATGACGTTATTTATTGCTATTATTGCTTTTGTGAGCATATTGTGGATAAACACAGTATTTAAAGAACACTAAACAACTACATACTGTAGGTTTTTTGATAGTACTTTGATAGTAATAAGTGTCAATACTGGGGATTTTTTGGCTGTTCCGACTTTCAGATAAACTAAATATTGTGATATATATTGTGTACTGTGAAAATGTCTTGCATCTATAATGAAAGAAAAAACTGGATAGTCTCTAATTGTACAGCAGCAAGGTGTAATAGTAAAAGGTGGTGTCTAATAAGTGGACAGTAGGGCTGTTAAAAATCGAAATTTGAATATTCTTTAAAACATAAATAAATAAATAAAGAAATAAATAAATAAATAGCACATTTGAATGTAGAAAATGCCCATCTGAATGTTAAAGCTACCTTTGCAGCAGCTCCTAGCGTGTGTCAGGCCAGTCAGTAACACACAGGGGCTACTAAGCTCATGGAACAACATGCCATTCCTAACCATAAATTAAACAAAAACAATCTATTTTTGCTTTAATTATGTATTTAGATGCACAGGAAAATTTGCCAACATTCAACAGCTCTTTAGCAACTTCACCATTTGGTAATAGACACACTTCTTTCCTCAGTCTGCTTCAGATGGTCGGCTTTTTCTGGCAAGCCAAGACTGCAACTGTGGGTGTTCTGTAGCACAGTAAACTAATTATGATGTAATGTTTATACACATGTAATGTAGTATAGTGCAGCCACCCACACTAGCTAGAGAATCTCTCCCTCAGCTCAGCACTTTTCACATAGCCACTTATCGTTCCACTGGCCTGAGTTATTTTATGAAAAAGTCATTCTCAAAAATATACAAAAACAATGTGGGCCTTTTCAGACAACCATCTCGTGCCTCCAGGTTGAGAACGATTATTTTATAAAACCGTGAGCTTTTGGGGAGGCTTGATATTTGAGTGTCAAATTAAGACTTTAGGGCCATTAATGTTGTATTTGAAAAAAACACATATACAGCAGTTATGACATCATCTTGAAAAATAATGTATTTAAAAATATAAAAATGTTACTAATATCTGAACATTCAACACAAAAAATAAAGGAAAATTAGAATTTAATTTCTGAGCCAAGCTGACAGCCTTGGTGGACAGTAAGTGTACATAGTACTTTGCAAAACCCAGCATTGCTGCTATGACAGTTGTAACAGTGCCATGTCATTGTCACTGCTGTTCTGAGAAAGGTCCACCACTCAAATGGTCAGCGATGGTTCCTTTCCATTGATAGTGCACCCCAAGTCAAATGATATGTTTGGCTGATTTTTTTGTTGCTCCTAATAAGTTAACACGCACATTTTTGGTGCACAATTTACAGTTTATTTGCTTAATTTTACATATCGTAGCCTGTGCAAAGGTTATGGCACATTTTAGATTAGGACAACAACAAAACACGTAATTTGACATGGGGTGTTCAAAAGTTTGCAAAGAACTGTATGATGGTGGATAGCAACACATGGGCTTCATTCAGTAACTGTAAACCTACAAAGTGCCCCGACATGGTAGGTGTTAATGATAATTAACCAGGGAATGTAAGTGTTCACCTTAAACTGACAACTCTTTATTCCTGCACCCACAGCTCCATCTACTGGTGAGCACACAACAAGACCCATACACAGGAAATCCAGTTCGTTCCGTGTTGCACCACCAAAACAATGATGAATGTTACAACATATTTGTTCTCTTAGGTACTGTTGTGCACATAAAGGCAGGGAACACAGTGACCGGGTTGAGCTGTAGTTGTAAAACTATGTGGAAACGTGCGGCTCACCATTTTCTACTTTGCTCTTTGGGTGCGGCCCACTGAACGCCAGGAACTTTCCGGGGACAATCCAGTTAAAGTCTCCATTCTCCACACGCTAAAGAAGGGACAAAGAGAGAAAGAGCGAGAGATGCAGGTGTTAGACTGTTATGAAAGGTGCCATTTGGAACTAAATGTGCTTCCATGCTGGGTTGCACAAGGCTGGCAAAGCCTTTTACGAGGGGCGCAGTGGTAAAAGCAGGTAGGGCACAGCAGGCAAACGAGAAACGAGGTGGCACATCTTACATAAGCTGATGGCAAAACCACCAGGCAGAAAATATTGCACTCAACATCACCATAATAACTCAGAGAGCCACATCAGACAGGCAATCAGATAAGCAAGTTACACGTGTACAAAATGTTTTGCTTTCAGACGAGACAAACCTGATGCATGTTTCTGATTAAACTGTTTACAGCCAAGTTTTTCATTAGGCTAAAGCTTCATATCAGAGCAGTGGAGTGGACGCGGTTATGTAAGGGGTTTGGAAACTGCTGAACGGGTTTCTGGACACCCTGCTGGTCATCTGCTTAGTGAACAAATGTCCAACTAGACATACAGTTCTAGACGCAACGGCTCTAGATGTGTAGTTTCTGGGGACTGCTGTGGTTTTAGGCCTGTGCCCTCAAATATCACTGAACGCAAAAGCGCTTACAGAAGTGCTGCAGACAGTGCTAGGCCTGCAGTTTCAGAGCACTGCTGTGGTTTCAGGTTTATGTCCTTTAACGTCATGGAGTAAGAGCAGCAACTTAAGGTCTACAATTTCTGGGTATAACGTTTTTTTGTTGTTTTAGGTTTGTGTCCCCTAACGCCAAGGTGAGCTACAGCACTTACGCCAATAAGTTTTTAAACAATTCATTCAAAACCTGCCATTTATTTATCATTAAATGTACAAGTAAATAGAACATTCAGCATTAACAATAATTTACTCTTCAACTAGATTACCATGGCACAGAATCCAGGCACTGAACGTTACACAGAGGACCAAATAAAACAAAATAGATACTTTTACTTCACCTTTATATTATACCGTGTTACTTCAACTAAAATGCATATTCATGATGTCATCTTCAATACAGCACTATTTATCTATACACTACAAGCTTTAATAAATAATTTTGGATTTGGAATGTAAAATTAAAAAAAAAAAATTTTACTTACTAATCACTTCAGTTTACACTTAAGCTACCTAATAAGCTATATAGAACCTCTACGTTCTATTTATGCTATCATTTTTAACACAGTTAACACATTGTCCTAGTTTGACCATCCAGTTAACACATTTTCCTAGTTTGACTATCCATTTTCCTAGTTTGACCAAACCATCCATCTTAGTGCAGGCTGAAGCACAAATAAAGCTATTAAATGTCTTTAAAAGTGATACATTTAGCAGTTTCAGCAAACTATGCTAGAATGCGCTCAGAAGAGGCCTACAGATTAATCAATGAGCAGCAAACTAACAAAAGCAACAGCTAAGTGGGAAAATCTAGTACGTCTCGAAATCCTCAACAACTTTTTGCACTGTTGCCACATTAAGTTTTAAGTTTTTCAATATGGTAAATTCATTGTTTTATTTGGTTATTGGTGCATAAAAATGTGCAGAAGTGTTTTCTCTGTAGAGAATGTTCAAAAAAAAAGAAAGAGAAAAAAAAAAAATTCAGGGCACCCAAACTTTTGCATATGGCATGGTTGGAACATGCAGCTGATGGCTGGTGGTTATAACTGGAAACACTGTTCACTCTATGGAAATAACATGATTTTCATGTTCACACAGTGGAAATCCTACAGAGCTACAGAAAGTAATAAATACATTCTGATGAAGCTGTTTCAGTCCACTCATACAGCTACGACAACATGCCCTGCTTTTTATCTTTCTTTAGGGTCAAATGTCAGGGACAAATTCAATTAATTACTAATAACTAGCTAAAATAATGTGATTAATCATGATTATTTGAATCATTTGACAGCCCCAAAGCCTACAAATTTCAAAAAGCTATAACACAGGAAACATTTCTCAAAAAAAAAATTGTTTATGATTGTCTCAGAAAAATAAAGCAGATCTCAATGTTGTGTTAAAGGATTACTGATTTCCTAATTCTCTCTCATATCCCATTCAACTAAATGATTAACATTAACATAAGTTCTGCTGAGGAACTGAGAAAAGCCTGATCGTCTTCTACACTGACACACTGCTGAACGATTTCAGACACACAAAATAGAGCTTTTCTTATGTAAATATTACCTAGATAAGACTGTGGGGAGACCAGTCATCTGTGAGATAATGTATTGAATACAGTGAGAAAATCGGGGGGTTGTTTCTCAGGAACTGAAACCGTCTGAAAAGTCTCACATTGATTTCAAATAGAACTTAAGTATCTTTAAGACATGAGCTTTTATTTTAATTAGTTCCATCTTTTGGGTTTAATCAGTCATACTAGACAACATGAACTGTTGTCATCTTTTTCTTTCTGAAATCATTAAAGGAACATCATAATGTCAGATTCATATTACACTTCATAATGTTGGGGAGCACAAGCTTAAAACCACAGCATGACCTGAAACCACAGCACACAAACTGCAGACTTAGAACTACAGTGCAGCAGAGAGACGTCTGTCAAAGTGTGAAAATGTGAGCTATGTGAGCATTTAGAAATGAACAGTTACCTCATAGTGTTCGTACTCGGTCACATCAAACGTGTCGAAGTTCAAGAAGCCGTGCTGCAGGGCCTAAAACACACAATATAAAAACATTTTCAAATACCACACGTCTAGCACGTAAGATTATGGAGACATTTTGATCAATCTAGATTGACAGGAAGAAAAAAAAGCACCATGTGTTAAAAGTTGTGTATTTCTGTATCACACCCACACTTGAGAACCCTTCCAAAGTCTGAGTTATACAAAAACATCTCATGTGTGTAAAATAATGAGAGCTATACTCAAAAAGTTTGTCATTTTGTTGACTTCCTCTACAGTGAACAAACTGAAATATGGCATTGTTATACAATGTTTAGTTCACAATTTCTATTTATTTGCTGAGTTTAACACGTTGGACTGAATGTAAAATGTGCCACAACTTTTGCACAGGCCACATTTTATGTGTTATTTTCTCTCAATATGTTAAATTCAGCAAATAAACAGTAATTGTGCATTAAAATGTGCAGAAGTGTGTTCTCTGTAGACGATGTGTTTACAAAACATGTAAATTAACCAGAGGCACAAACTGGACTATTCTACTGAATTAGTTCAAGCTGTGGCCCCACAGTAAACGTTTTTTTCCCCTCAACATTTTTTAACATTTTATTGATTACTTTTAGTTTAAAGATTTAGATTTATCATGAGTTTAATCTTTAAATAAAAAACTGTTTTCAAAAAATGCTGTTCCACGTTTTTATGTCACTACCGGAACACACACAGTTTTAGTCCAAAGGCGGAGCCTTATTTTAGCCACACCCCTGCAGTTTGGAGCAGGAAGTGGGACTGGATCCCTGTCCCTCATGGCCACATGGTGAGCAGTTAGATCCCATTGTTTTGAAGAAAACATGTCCCAAAGTCTGAAAATCAGTGTGAAACATTAAGAATAGTCACTACCGAAACACATATTTTCTGCAATGAAGTAAACTGTGTGTTTGGATGACATATTATGATTTTATGTGTGCTAGTCATGTACTGACTTTTAAGTTCAAAATGAGCTAAAATTGTCACTACTGAAACAGTCACTACTGAAACATTTGGTAAAGGTTTGGTAGTGTTATGATTGTTTTGGTAGTGACAAAATAGAATGTTCAAAGATTTGTTTTAATAAAATGAACATAATTAAAGTTTATAGTCACTCGAAGCAAAAGGATTTTAGTCTAAAGTCAGTTAAAAATCCAAAACACGTTTTGAACTCCGACTTCGAACCAGTTCAGCAGAATGATCCCTATACATGGGTATCTGAGTACTACAAGCTTCTAATTATAACCCAAATCTCAATGGCGCTTCACAATCTTTATAGCACATGATTAAAGTGCAGAGCCCTCAGTTAACTTGATGTTCTGCCACTTCTCCACCTATTTTTCTCCGGGGTATAATTTTCTGCTAGAACAAGCATACGTGTGAGAAGAAACTAACACACAGTATAAACGCAACTTCCTCGTTATCACTAAAATCGCTATTGCAGCCACAGTACACATGCAACCTAACACAAAATCAGATCAGCAGGGTGTGTGCTTGAAACCGCATGACCACACCTCCACTTTCGTTATAACTACAGACCAGACATGACCAAAATACGCATTCTACCCTACAAGAAAGCAGCTGCCAACTGAGTGAACAGGGCAGCCTAGAGGTACACAGTTCACGCAGTATATGAGTGAAAGGAAAGAATTGAAAAACATCACATGAAAACATTTTCACACCATAGTCATGTGCAAACGTTTGGGCAAATTCAGTGTTCTAAGTGAAAGTAAGTTCATACACCCTCTTATACACATCATTCGTATACCAGGGAACAAAAGTAAATATGGAATTTTCTGTAAATTTTTAGAGCTTATTTTCTTTATTTGCTGAGTTTAGCAGGAAAAAATAGAACATAACATGAACCATAATGTAAGCACATGCCAAATTTTATGTTTTTTCCCCCCCAGTGTTAAATTCAGCTAATACACAGTAACCATACATTAACTTAGAAAACATGTACCAATTTTCACTATTAATATCAATAAAACATGTCATTTGACCAGTGGTGCTCAAACTTCTGCATATAACCGTACGTAACATGACATTTGGATTTCTTTTTTTTTTTTGAATTTTTTTTTGGAACAGACAAAAATGCACAAGCAAAATAGTAGTTCTGGCTATACAACAATAAAAAGGCTATAAACCTGAGAATACAAAGTGGGCCTGTGCCGGTAACAGAATCCTCTAACTCAAAAATCAGGGCGGTAAATGGTTATGAATCCGGGAGCGTGGTAAAGGTACCGCCTTCTTTGCTTTACCTTTTATTTGACAAAGATTGAACTTCAAATCACAGACCACTGCGTTTGCTCCCACATCCATAAGTGCTAACAGATGCACTTACAAACACAGTGATAGTCTTTCAGTTGAAGGTTAATCTTTTTCAAATAAAAGAATATAATAAAAGTGTAGTACAATAAAAGCTGCACCAGCAACTATAATTTGGCCACAAAACTGTAACTAATCTAGTAATAAAGAACGGAACTGCAAATGTCACAAAAACTTTACTGCACACTCTGTGTCTGTAGCTGCTTAGCTTAGCCTGACTGTCTGAGAGCAGAGATATTTACAGAGTTTTCTGAGAGATCTTAAGCCGTTTCGCCTCATGCCTAAAAACTGACACTGTGATTTTGCATTTGAGACCTAAACATTGAGCCAGACCTTCTTTTTATGATGTTCATATGTAAAGGTGTATGCTGTGGTGTGAAAACTCCGACCTGACATTACTTTTAAATAATTCTTTCAAGCTTTAAAGGGCGACTTGGACAACAACTTTAATGGAAAAAAATCGTAGCGACGCTTTAAGAGGGACCAGACAAAATTGGTAAAAATATTAAGATATATGATAATGAACTGACTATTAATATACTAGGGGGTCTCAAAGTCAGTGCTGGAGACCCCATGCTCTGCTCACTTTTATATTTTCTCCACTTTAATACAAACACAAGAACATGCACAGCGTAGGGTTGCCAGGACTGCGGCTGGAACTATACACTGGTTATTGTTTACAGACTCTCTATAATTAGTCTAAATCTGTCTCTTTTATGATACATGCAGTTGTTCCGTGTCCCCATGACAATCATAAAACCATATTGTGAGCTAATTTATCACAGCAATAACATCATATTCCTCACCCATAGGGCAAATTTCAGCATTATGTCAGTAGCATGACATGCTCTGTGGTAAACGGGGAAAGGGGTCAAACAGCTCAGAGCTGCAGAGAGATCCCTTCGGCTGCTGGTGGATGACTCATGGGTTAAGTGAGGCTAGCAGGCTAATGTAATTGATTAGTGTGGAGACTGCAGACAGGGATGAATGGGCACAGAGGACGAGCTCTTAAAGGGACAGCTCGGCTAAAAATGCTAAGATGGCCAATAAGCAAAACATACATGCAAACACACAAGCACACACTTGTTCACACAGCAGGTGGCAATGTCCGGCTCCTTTCATCCTCTCTGCTTTAACAGCTGTCTGTGTATTAGGTACTGAGATATACCCCCCTCCCTTTCCAGGTTGTGCTGGTTATGTAATCGTTCTATGGTCCTGGGCGACTCTAATGGTCTTGGCCCCGCTGTTCTCCTCGCTCCAGTGATAATTGGACTAAGAGCTTACAGAGGGAGGCCACCAGTGCAGTATGAATGAGAGAGGGGCTTTTCTTAATTACAGCACACATGCTCTAAATCCCAATCTGCACTGCTACTACTGCTCCAGTCACCTCAAGCCACCACTCAGACTCAGCCCAAAGCACTGCTCAGGAGGACCAGTATGACCTTTTCTAATGTCCATCATACAGCCTTGGGGAATTTGTACAGAGAAATACAAAAGTATAATCCTCAGGTCACAGTGAGGGGAAAATGAAGAGCAAAACAGCAAAAAATATGAGCACGAGGTTCTGGCCTAAAACAAAATGTACAAGATGCTGGCTCAGGAATTGGCCCATGAATTTGCCCAGGATGTCAGCCAAGACATGCTGGGTGTCCACAATTTCCTGTTTTAGTTATGCACTGGAGCTACAAGTCTAATGTAATCAGGCCCAGGCATAGACATTCTGAGGGGCAGGGGCTTAATGGAAAAAGGGGCAAACTAAACAAGATCCTGGACATCATTTTTCAGAGGAAACAAATCTAGTGTTGAAGGGGAACTCCACCGATTTTGGAAAATTACTTAATTATTCAATGGTTTAGATGCCGGCAGCAGCTTTTGTTTATAGTTTATTTTTACAGTTTTCTTACCTATATTGGAAGATGACAGAGCATGCAGAGGACTTCGAGGTGGTCTCTTTCAAAAATGTCGCAGAGCCAAATCAATTTGAACCAGAACAAACAAATAAATGAGTTGCAGCAGCTTGAAGAAGAGAAAGCCAAAATGACGTCTAGTTCCTGGTACTACAATGGTGAAAAAAATTGACTCTGTAAATTTCTCTAGAAATGCATTTCACAGTAAACCACTCAATGATTTTGTTTACATCTAAACCACTGAACAATTAAGTAAAATTGGTGGGGTTCCCCTTTAAGAGTTTTCCAAGGCAGATAAAAATACTTAACAGCTGAAACAGGCATTTGAACCCCAACCACCAGCATGCAAATGTGCAACACTTCCCATTATATAACGCAATTCCTATGAGTTATAACTATATTTGAGGGCAAGTTTAGTGCCCCTCATGCCAACATTAGGCTGTTGTTCAAAACACCATATTACAGAATGTGACCGTGAATGTCATTGTTGCTATAACATTGAGATTTCCAGTGCTGTGGTGATGCATTCAAACACAACAGGCCAGAATTACAGAGATGCGCTTTTCACAGGCAGTCGGTACTGCACCAGAGGGGGCGCCTGAGCTAAAGCTTGTGGAACCTGAGGCGACCCCTATCCTGTGATGAAGCTGAGCCTCTCCTTGCTGAACAAGATCTTGAAGTAATCTCAAATAGGCTTGCCTAATGTGGTTTCCGAAACTGTATGACATACTGTTATCTATTAAAATGGGCCACAGTATGGACAAAATTCAGGCTTCACAGTGGTGGCTATTACTGGGTAGCTTTGCAACAAAAAAGGAAAAAATTTGTACACCAATCAAGTTTTGTCTGATCATTGACATGTGGGGTAAATACAAAAAAAATTGCATAAATTAAATTTTTAGCCAAACTAACAAAGAGACCTGCGTATGCGGTTTCCAAATCTGTATGACACACTATTATCTATTAAAATAGGCCACTGTATGGACAGAATTCAGGCTTCATAATGGTGGCTATTACTGTTTAGCTTTGCAACATACACTTTTAAAGATAACAGTTTGTCATACAGTGTCAGAAACCACATAAGTAAGTCTATATCCTTTAAAATTGCATCTAGCTTAATACTAACAGGTGGGGTATTTGGGTTTAAGGGAAACTGATTTTAACCAAACTATTAAAGGCCGAACACATCAGCCTTTCAAGGTGGGATGTATTCTGATTGCTGCAGTATTGTAAGTCTATTACTCAGCCTACTTTTTCAACCTTTCAAAACTACTGTGCAGGACTATTAACTCTCACAAGAAAAGCTTAGAAAATGGCAGTATTATTCACTCTCAGCAACACCTGCTGGCTCACAATTAGTACTTAATCATGTGGATAAAAGCTGGCAGATAGTACTGAGAGCTCTGAATGTTTCATTAATGGGCCGTGGTGTACAGCAACTGATTACAGTCACTGATCTGCTAATGGTCTGTTAATTAAAGCTGGAGACAAAGCAACTGCCACGCTTGCTATGGGAAAAGAGAGTGATCTGAGCCAGGTTAGCATGTGATGGCACCAAAAAAAAAAAAGCTCAGAAGCTTGTTTGGCACGTTCACTGGTGGTAATAAGTGTGGTATGTTTTAATAAAGCCAGGAAGGAGGAGGAGGGGAATTATTCTGGGCTGAAAAGATTGTTGTTTTTCTTCATGGGTGCACAGTTGAGTTTCACAGGAGTTATGCTGGACTCTTCATGGAGGAGTGGGGTGGGAGGGGGGACAGGGGTAGATAGGAATGTGCAGAGGAATGTCTCAGCGTTCTTTTCTGATTGAACGAGTCCTTCCTGCACGGCAAGATGTGCTCACATGAAACTGCTGAGGCTGTCAGGGTGTTACCAGCATGCAGAAACCACGTCAGCGCACACATACAAAAACATGCCTTGAAGGGAAAACGTGCAGCTTTTTGACTTGAACAGGAAAAAAATAAAAACAAAAACCACATTGTACAGTTATAATTCATGTACAGCAGCAATTCATAATTCATGAATGACTATTTTCTGAGAACTCAAAGAAAATCTGCATTTCCAAACTAATACCTGTCCTTTTGTCCCCAAAATAGGGTTTCACAAGACCTGAAATTGCCATTTTACAGTGGAGTAGTGAGAAATGGCCGGGCGCTGTGACTGAAGGGAAAGCAAAACTATTTTAATCCCAATAAAAAAAAATTCTCCGTGAAATATTTTGCCTACAGTCCGAAACTAACACCTGCCATGTAGCATAAGAAGAATGTGTACACTGTAAAAAAATATCTTGTTAAGCGAAATCTTCTTGATCCAGCTCATATTACTCATTTTGAGACTGTTGTAAGAATATAAAATTATTCAGTTTATTTCTAGATGTGTATTACTTGTTGCAAGTTATTTGTCTCATTCAAAAGGCAGAAAATTGTGCTTGTTTCAAGCACAGTTTCATGAAATAAGCAAGATTATCTGCCAACAGAATAAACCAATTCCTCTAGATAAAATGACTTAAAACAAGTAAAAACTTCTGGAAATAAACTAATCTTATCTTAATAACTATTTCATATATCTATGAAACCCAACGAAGCTGCAATTACATAAGAAACCAATCTGTGCACATCAATATGAGTTAAATCCTTTTGGGTGCGGTTAACTAAAAATATTCAAAGAGTGCTTGAGAGGTCTGTGCCTTTTTTGTGTTTGAGGGCACCATTTAAGCCAAAAACAAGTCTTTAGGTGAACTCTCAAGAAGAATGCTGTCAGCAATCATATCACCAAGCAAAATCTTGTCCAAACTAAAGTGCCATTTCAGTGAAATGAACAAATGTTTCTTGTCACTGTGACAGATGAAACTGTCACTGAGGGCAAAGCACCTTGGCTAATTATTGTTCAGGGAGGGGAAAAGAGCTGGCACCAGCTCAGAGTAATGACAAAAAGCAATTAGGCGCTGTCATTCATCTCATGTGCATGTGCGTGTATGACGGAGTCTGCTGAAAATTCTGTAAAGCTGGGCGTACATTTCACAACTTAAAATCTTAACAGGTTTCTAAAACGGAGAGCATCACAAACTTGGATGAATATGGGGTTGAGAAACACAGGTATCACAGTAAGAGCTGGAGAATTTCACTATAAACTGGCAGCTGACTGAATTTGTAAAGAGAGTGCCTTGATGTTGCGATTCATATATAACTTATTGTAAACATAACAGAATTATAAACAGGATAAAAGCTCTTCTTCGCCTTCATACACATCTCTTTGCTTTCTCTCCACTCTTCTAGCTCTCTCATTGGCTGTTGACCATCTCATACTACAGGACTTGAAAGTTTTGAGTCGTAAAAATTAAAATGTTGGCCTCCAAATCAATCTGGAGCCTGACTGGGAGGCTAAAGATTGACTCGTTTCTCCTCTTAAACTACCAGATAATCCGTGCTGTCAACTGCTTCCAATCGAGCTCCCAACCTGCAAAATCCTGTTTGTGATAATGTGTCAAAATCCTGATTGTGATAATTTGTCAGGACGGGCAAACTGGGGTAAAACTGGGCCAAAAATAGTGTAGCATAAGCTCATCTTGAGGCAAAAGTATCAGCACTGAATATGCTTCACAAACCTAATAGTTTACAGAAAGGCCTCACTTTTCTCATTTCCAATGGTTCAGATTGGAATAATGATCATACACGTCCAAAACAACCTGTCCATGCTCCACCCACAAATGTTTTTTCTTAGCTACTGTTGCTAAGTTGGACAAGCTCTACAGATTAAAGGCAAAATTCTATTCAATCTAATGAGTCATCGTAGAACAAGACTGGGTGCAGTGTTTGTTGTGTTATTGAGTTAATATTAGTACAGTGACAATTCTTCTTTCAGCGACAGTCTGACTAGTTTCAATTAGCACAATCCACCCAAAGGAAAAATGTCTCTCTCAAGATCAGGTTTTCTTTGTCTAAAGGAAAAATAAATCTAAATAAAAAATTAAGTATTTTGTTAAAGGAAAAGTTCTGTGAAGAATCTGATTTACCCAATATCCCACTTATTAAACTGGAGCTGCAAGGCTAACATTGCTAACAAACACTAGCACTCAATAGTCACCCAAATAGCCCAAATCGTTTCTGTAAAAATGTGCTATACATGCTTAAACTGCATCCACATCCTCATTAATGTCACACAGACTTGTCGACGTGGTTTAGGGCACAGTGTAACTAACTGTGAGCTATGAAAATGAACTCCAAACATGTCTCAGCTGATCTGCTACATCTGGGTTAAGTGAAATATTGTGTAAATTAGATTTTTTGCCAAACCATTCCTTTAACGAAGGATCAGTGTGTTCTGAATTCTTTCTTCTAAACCCTCTTAAGGAGAAAAGAGGGGATTACTAGTGTTCTGTGAGACGGCAGCTTTAACTTGTCTCCTGTGGCCTGTGGGGTCGTGACATTCAGGTTAAGAACCCCTGTGAGACTGAGTGATTTCTGACATGCAGAGGAGCCATATGAGAAAATTGAGATCTACACTTTTTGTGATGTAAATATTATTTAGTTAAGACTGCAGTGGGTGAGTTAAGATAATTACGCCATCTGTGAGACAATATTTCAAAGTCAGAAAATCTAAGAGATGTTTCTCAGGAACCAAACTGAAGAAATATGAAAAAAATTATTACGTCTCATATTGATTTCAAACAAGACTCTAGCAACATCTAGGAAGTAAATGAGGTTAATGGGATCTCATTTTAGTATACTTCTTTTCAAGCTGAAAGGGTCCAAGTTCAGACTGGCCAACCTAGAAAACACCACATTACTGTGACAGAATGCTTTTGTGACCAGAGCAAGGATGTCAATTCATTTCTCTTATGACTTCCACTTTTGTGCAAAGAAAGACATCTTACCTTTCTGATTCCTTGCAAACAGTCAAGAATCGTCAGGTTGTATGTGCAATTTCCAAACGACGCATCCCTGAAAAGAGAGGAACAAACAGATGAGAAACAGAAACAGAGATTGAAAGTATAGGAGAATGAAAAAGAAAGAGATAGGAAGTGTGAAAGTGAGTACATGAAAGTACTTCTGCGTTTGACATCACGTGTGCTTCACAGGCAGTGAAATCTTTTTATTCACTTCAGCAGCCAGAGGTCACAGGTTTGTTTCTGTGGACTCTCGTTTCCCCCGTGGGAGTGAAAAAGAAGAGAAAGCCTGGCCACATGAACACTGAACGCACAGGCCTAAAAATAGACCAGCAAACACTGAGGGTTCGTACAGCTGACCCAGATCATAAACAGTACCTCACTTTTAAAGAAAGTGAAGCAGCACTCGCCCACAAAAGCAGGGAAATGGGTCACGAGGTCTCATCTACAGATGTGGGTGTTAGTATATACACAGAGAGAGAGAGAGAGAGAGAGAAGCAAGTGCAGCAAGAAGAAAACAGAGAAAGAAAGAGCAGAGAGACAGTGAGAGAGAGACAGAGAGAGAGAGCGAGAGAGAGACCGAGAAAGAGAGAGAGAGAGAGCGATATATTGCTTATTTTAAGAATAAAAACAAGCTTGTTGTATTTTTACCATCTTACCATTTTTACCACAGTGAAATCTGTGATTAATGATTTATCAAATAAATTCCTAAAGGATCAGAATCGGACTGAACAGTTGTGAGGTCACATTTACACCCCTATAACCTAAATATATGAATGCACTGTTAAATCAAATGGTGAAATATGGTGCAGTGGTGGCGAGTGGTCAGCTGATCGCTGAATGGATCTAACTCGTCCACTCACTCATGACTCAGGACCAGGTTCACTTTAGCATCAGCAGATCTGCTGGGTGCTTTAAATGTATGCCTGTTTAGGTTTAATTGGTGATATTTTTGGGGGTAGGGGAAATGGGTCATACTTCTGCAGGGATCCTGCTCCTGCCTCTCTACCCGTAAAAGTGGGCTAATTTCTGATTTTTAATTAAAAAATTACAATTACAAATTTCCCTGGTAAATGAATGAGTTTATTCCTAGAGCAGTTACTGGCAGCACTGTTTTTTTGCAGAGATGAGCTGGAAACTCTCTTGCTATGTTTTACTATGCTTTTGTAGGGTGTAAATCTCTCAGCTCAGTCATTCGATTATAGTGCAATTCTCTAGGAAATGATCAAATTCATCAAGAAATCTCAGATTTCAATCTCAGATGTTTTGCTTAATTTCCTTTTTGTTGGTAGGATTCAGAAATGCTTTTTAAAATACACTGAAAACAAAACTGTGACTGGAGTACAACTGACACATTTTTGGAATGGAGTTTCTGCAAATATGTGATTTGCAATTGCCACTTTTGGCTGATCTGTGTTGCAAATTCTATGATGTAAATGGGCATTCGGATGCTGCTGCTATACAGACACCAAAATATCTTAGTACAATTATGCAGGACTCATTGTACTACATACAGCTGCTTATTGTCAATGTGGCACTTTATTTTAAAGTTTGGCCCATTAACAAGCAAATAATATTTACACAATATTTATATTGCGATTTTGGCTAACAGAAAGTACTGGAGGCTAATCAAAATTACTATTTCGAAAAAAAGAGTGAAATCAGCCACAAAAATTAAATATCGGTGCATCCAGAAAATACACAAAGCTTTTTTTTCCCCTGATATTTTCTTGAATATCACACTTGAGGCCACCACAATTACATAATTAAAACTGATTACTCAATTAAAAATAATCAATTGAAATTTACTATAAAGGTTCAGGAATCTGAAAACAAAAAAAGCAAAAAAGAGGAAATACTAATTGCTTTTGTGTGCATCACTAAGAAGAAGGAAACCCACACCAGCAGGATCTCAATAATGCATATATGTTTGTAGTCACAAATTTCATACATATAACGTAAATTTAAATGTTTTCGGTTATAAATTAGGTGCTTACAATTACGTAATTAATGATCAAAATAACTGCTAGTTAAAATCACATTAAAATTATAACTGACTCTAAAAATTAATGCATTTAAATCTGCATTTTCACATGAATGCATCACAGTGTAATACTGTTGAACAGGAGTACTAAAAGTTCTGTGGTTCTAAGAGTCGGCTGGACTGCTCCTCCAGACAGTGACAGATGTATGAGCCAAAGCACATGAATTAAAGAAACAGGCTCAGGATTACATAACACCTTACCTCTACAACAGACTAAACACTAGCCCTCAAAAGAGAGACAGAAAATAAAAGCCAATGTCTGTGTAATCTGCCTAAAGAATTACAACCCTGTCTACTGGGAATATTACACAATATGACTAGCACTGCTAAGACTTTGGTGCAGATGGCTTTTGCTCACTTGCTTTTGAAACCACAATCGAAAAGACAGACAATTCTTCCATAAAAAAAGCAAAGCTTCTTTCAAAATCCTTTTCTTTCAAGCTAAAGGTGCAGCTGAAAGGATCAGAAGAATCTAGGTGTAAACCACAAGGTGTGGCACACATGAGCTCACGTGTGAAACGGCACAAAGCCAGGCGCCAGCGACAAAACCAGGAGCCACGCGCCTGTGCGTTATGCAACCTGAACCACACAGCTGATCAGATATGCACAGATACTCATCCACAGCCACAGTAAAGGCCTTAGATAAACACACCACCACGGCAGAGGGCTCAAACGGATTTAGAGGTTAGCATCAATGAATGATTCACGTCTAAAGGATAAAGAGCGAAAGCTTTAGCCCAGTTTATTACAAAGCAGAATGAAAAAAGAAGAAACGGGAACTGGTGGACAGTAAAGATATTAAAATGTCATAGCTGAGGTTCAGAGACATACTGATTGGCCCAGACCAGACATTTTCATCTTTTATTTCCTTCTGGTGTCCACTTACGACATTTTAAGTATCATGTCAAAATTTATGTCGTAATTATTTTTTTTATGTCATCTTTTCAATGCTCTCTTATCCCTCACAATTAAACAGGCTGTTTTTGTTACTGTGCCTTTAATAGGACATGTAAATGATCTCTGTTCTGATTGGCTGCCCTGTATTGTGCCTCATTCAAAAAGCAACCTAGACTGCAACACTGCTTATAATTTCAGTGTAAATGGGCAGAGCTAAACTGCTGTCGACTAAATGGGTGGATATCACTGTCGGAACAAAACCTCACATCTCCACAAAAGTAAAGTTTCTAAGAGGAGAAAAAAATAACTTTAAAATGAAAATTAATGTAATAAGATTTTGGACCATATCTATTCGTTCCTTCTGACACAGTAAATGGCAGCTGGAGTTTTTAAATAATATGAAAAAAAAAAACAACACGTGACAATCTATGTAAATACATGTTTTAGTAACATCACAAAATCTGTTAATCCAAAACAGGGTGATTATGCAGCTTAGCTTCCATATATGGACTATAGAGAGGAATGTAAGGTACTTTTTGGGACTTGAAGTAACTTTATTGTACAACACTCTTAAAAAAAAGATGGTTCTTTAAGGGTTCTTTAGTAAAAAAAAAAAATGGTTCTATAAAGAACCATGAACACTCAAAGAAACCTTTGCAAGATTAAAGAGTTCTCTGCATAATGAGAAGGTTCCTCAGAATGTGTTCTAGATGGTTCTATATAGCACCCAAAATGGTTCTTCTATTGTTACAGTGTCAAGCTTGTAACAATAGAAGAACCCTTTTGGGTGCTATATGGAACCGTTTTCAAAGGGGTTCTACATAGAACTATCTACAGCACATTCTCCGACAATCTGAAGGACGCTTTCATAATGCAAAGAACCCTTTAATCATGCAGAGTGTTCACGGCTCTTTATAGCCCCTTTTTCTTTACTAAAGAACCCTTGAAGAACCATCTTTAAGCATGTAATTTTATTTAGAAAAAGTGAGAAAAAAAATTCTGTTCAGTTTTTCACAGTACAGACCCTGTAAGTGTACAATTTTTAGTGTATCATTATGTTCGCAACATATAATCCAACAGTGATCAAGGTTTTGAGTCCTGCATGACAGGCTGAATTAGCACCCATACACTGAATTCTTATAAACCAATATCTGCTGCTTCTGGTTCAATTTTAAGTTGAAGATCTTGTGACATCACTTAAAGTGATGGTTTTGCCAAAGATTAAAAATTTGCATGAGCAGAAGTCTGCTTTTTTCAGCTATGCACTAGGGCATAATACTAAGGCAGTGGTGTGTTCCTGTGACGCTGGCTCGAACCCCAGTCTCCAACTTGTGGAGCAAATGATTTAACCACTTTGCTACATCCCTTTAAATAAATAATTCATAATAATACTTCAAATATGATTACTGTCAGTCCTGGAGTTGAATGTGTGAAGCAGTAGTGAGTGTAACAACAAACCTGTATCACCGTAAAGACCTTTTATGGGGTCAAATATATACTTTAAAGCTTTTTTTTTTAGGTCTATAGAGAAAATGGATTACGCTGGGAAAAAAATAGAGCCTGTACTTCTTGCACACCAAGTCGAGATATCAATCACAATTTATAGATTCACACAGTCACAGTCATATCTAACAACTTTATTGAACATCATATTTTATGTCTTTATTGTGCAGACCTACTTTGCACTGGAGTTAAAACTGCATGAGTAAAATAATGTACTTTGCTCAAACCGTGTTAAGTTGTTCGGTAATCTCATAGACTCGCTTATGTGTTTGACATTGTATGATACTGTTATCTATAAAAAGGAACACATGCATGTTGTATAAGCCATATTAAAGGCTGAATTTTTGCCCACAGTTCGGTCCATTTTTATAGGCAATACTTTGTCACATATATAATTACTTCTAAATAAGTCCTGATTGTTTCCTAACAGGATCCCCCCCCATCCTCTGTATCCCTCTTTATGGAAAGACAGTGTGATACAAGCAGGACACTGCTGCATCCCAGCCAGAGTGACATCATGTGGAAGCAGGAGGGGAGGGAAAAAAAAAAAGGAAACCATGAGTAACAGAGTGGGCTAAATCTGGCAAACTCCCACCGTCTCAACGCAGTGC